AAATTGAATATTTAGGCATAATTTGAATCGTAGAATCGAAATATGGAGAAAAAATGGCATGTCATTTCAGAAAGCATTTTGTGTCGAAATACCTATATTAGAACAATGCTATATATAAATGTAATATATATCCTAAGTCGCGCTTTCGAGACATGAAAAACGCAATTTGAATTTCGTCAATCGGCCCAGAAGAACGGGAGATATAGAACTGTCTCCCCCCCGCAGTGTACACTTTTGTGCTAATTTGAAAAATGAAATCTTTTTTTTAATAAAGGACATTTTTTGTTAATTTAAAATCACTTTTACTTATATTTATCGTTCATATTGCTTTCTCTGTAGCACTTTTTCAAATACCCAGAATAATGAAGAATGTTATAAACAGATTTGAAATTCAGCAAGAAAAAAGTCTATAATTATCACTTTCGTTTCCATTTAACAAACAAATACTTCGCTTTTGTTGGTAAGTGAAACAGAGGCTTGTTAACAGTGTCGATAAGAAGTTTTTAACCTATAGCAGTGTAAAGATCCAAAGTACTATTAAATGCACCTCACCTAATAAATGCATATGATTACTTCAGATATACATAGTTTCCTTTAAATATAATAGATAAACTCAATCAGCAAAACTATCGTTTCATAAATTAACATATTGATTTATTCCTCGAAGATAGGCCGATATCAAATAAAAAATCCTATTTCAACAAAACATCTCAAACTGTGAATTTTAAAACTTGGTTCTTCATTGCCAAACAAACATTTGATTTAAATTTAAATACATTTTCCTCTTTCAAGAAAAGGTAAACATTTCTTTTATGCTGTAAACTTTAAGCATGTTTGCATTCATTTTATATCCTTTATGTAAGTATTAATAAATAAATGGCTGCCATATTTTACATTTTAATAAAATTGAATTTTATTCTTTACGTTTCTTTTTGCTGTAAAATACTAGGCGTGGGACATGAATAATATCGCAATCAACTTTCAAAACAAGTGGCTTTGACTGTATGGACGTTTATTCCTAGAAAAATAAAATGGGAATGAAGTAAGCAATTTCTTATCGAGACGGGATTCATTATTGGGAAAATATTGGATAAATAATCAAATGCGCATAATAGCAACCGTTCCTTCTTTCCCCTTAAAACCGTAACATTACGTTAAAGTGCATAACGTCATTTTTTCAGAACCATCTTCAATTTCCTGATTTGTCTTCTGTATTTGTCTTTCATACAAAAGATGGGCTTTTGAGAAATGAATATAAGCAATGATCCCATGATATTATTATTAACGCTGCCATTTAAGGTAACCAATTAACGTCATTAGAGTATGCAATTTTTGGTAAAGTTGTTGGAACTTATACCTACTCATTAATTATATATGGTTTCTTTTTTAGCCCTGCAGGGCTATAAATTTTGTTTTGGCATTTTGCGTTGCTTCACTGTAAAAGTCTGAATCACTTTTCAAATTGTTGCCATCAAATATTAGAGCCGTGCATTATATTTAAAAGAATTAAATAATGAATAATCTGCGTGAATGTATGTACGTTTTTCGCACTGTGAAAAAACAATGGTACCTAGAGACATCAGATTTTGAATAATGTAGTCCTCCACTCGAATATGGCGTCTGAAAGCCCAACTTTGGAATTTTGAATTTGTTTTATTAGCTGCTTCATATTTTGTAAAACTTAAAAAAATTTTTTGATTAACAACTCAATAATTTCAAAGCGTTCCATTAACATTAACATATTGTGCATCTTCAAGCACAGATATTTTATGCGCAATGTTTATTTACATTTCTTAATGGTATTATGTTGGTAGCGTAGCAACGCAAAGACATTACAATGTCCAATGGTGTTTTGCGTCGAATGACTTTGAATGTCTGCATCATTTTTCAAATCCCTCCTTGAAAAAAAAGCCTCTTTGTGCATAATACAGTGGTGCCTCGACATACGAGTTTAATTCGTTCCGTAACCTTGCTCCTATGTCAAATTGCTCGCATCTCAAAGCAATTTTTCCCATTGAAATTAACTGAAATGCTATTAATCCGTTCCAGTTCCCAAAACACCACTTCAGTTGTTCTTGTTAAGTGTTTTTGAATAAGAAAAATGTATTTACAAGAAGAAACATTTATTTATAAATAACAAATACATATTCTATAAAAACATAATTAAAAGAAAAAGTGCTTACGGAAGCGCTTAATTTTCGTCACTGGTCTTCGCTTTTTCGTCATGCTTTGCTCATTTTCACCTGCAGATCGTTTAAAAAAACTGTCCAAGGAGGTTTGTTTCTTCCTCCCTTTCAGGATATTGCGGAAATGAGTTAGACAAGTTTCGTTGAACACCTCCGATGCAAAACCAGTTAACACTTTTCCGGGGTGATTTTTATCTACGAACTCTACAACTTTCTCCCACATTCCCAAGATCTCCTTTATATCTCTTGTCGGGATAACCTCCTCCATCTCTGTCTCCTCTTCAAAACTAATTTTTCGTGGAACCACCGTATGCTGCTCCGAATGTAGATCGTGTAACTCCTCGGTTGTCAGCTCCTGAGACCGTTCCTCGACGAGTTCGTTCACATCTCTCTCATCCACCTCCAGACCCATGCATTTTCCCAGAGAAACAATCTCCTCTACCACTGACATTTCGGGTTCCTATCCTTCGAAGGTCCTTTCAGCTACAGCCTCAGGCCACAGCTTCTTCCATGCAGAGGATAAGGTCCTCGTTGTAACACCCAGCCAGGCATGATCAATAATTCTTAAGCATATCACGATGTTAAAAAAAATGGTCCTTCCAGAACGAAGGGTAAGTTTTGTGTTCTCCGTCATCTCAGCGCCGAAATATGTGCTTGGTGTACAACTTCTTAAAATTAGAAATCACCTGTTGATCCATGGGCTGCAGGATAGGAGTGGTGTTGGGTGGTAGGTAGAGAATCTTTACAAACTTGAACTGTTCGAGTAAATCATCTTCGAGATTTGGTGGGTGAGCAGGGGCATTGTCAAGGACAAGAAGGGCTTGCATGGGCAGGTTAATTTCCTGTAGATATATTAAACAGAAGGGCCAAACACCAGGTTTATCCACTCCACAAAGAATTTCCTAGTGACGCACGCCTTCGAATTTACCCTCCACATAATTGGCGGTTATTCTTTTAAAATCTTATGAGACTTAAAGGCTCTGGGATTTTCCGAATGGAATACTAGCAGAGGCTTGATATTGCAGTCGCCACTCGCATTGGCCCAAAGTACTAGAGTTAATCTATCCTTCATGGGTTTGTGACCTGGCATCGTCTTCTCCTCTGGCGTTAAATGTAAGTCTTATTCAGCATCCTTTTCCAGAAAAGCCCTGTCTCGTCACAGTTGAAGACTTGCTGGGGGATGTATCCTCTGGCTTCTATCAGTTCGGAAAACGTTTTGACGTAAACCTCAGCTGCCTTCACATCCGAACTTACTGCCTCACCATGCCTGACGACGGAGTGAATGACACTCCTCTTCCTAAAGTTGTCAAAGCAGCCCCGACTGGCTTTAAACGAGTCTTCCGATTCCTCGTTTGTGGAAGTATATGGAATCTGCTTCAGCAAATCACCGTAAATCGCTTCTGCCTTCTCATATATGATGCTTTGTGTTAAGGTTCCTCCTTGAAGCTGCTTCTCTGTCACCCACACCATCAGTAGTTTCTCCATCTTTCATGAAGAGAGGTCCTGAGCTTCGAAATTATTGTAATGCCCTTAGCTGGCGTTATACCCTTTATTAACTCCTTCTGTTTAAGGCACAGTACATATCATTTATGTGCTACGCCCTTACATCCTCGCCTAGTCAATTACTCGCACACCTTGCTCATGCTTTTCTATGATTTCACGCTTTAATTCAATAGACATCATCTTCTTCTTTGGACCCATGGTTATAAAAATAAATGTGATAATATTTTGTAAATATACAAAAAGCAAAAAAACGCGATAGCAATTTATCAAAAATGCTTCAAAAATGAGGGAAACAAGCACACAGACTGATGTCTAGTCTGAGGTGGGAGAAACTGTTAGACGCTGCGCATGTTGGGATCGTGTGCAGTGCTGTAGTGTGCAAAATATCGTTCGCTCGGCGGCTCGTATGTCAAAACACTCGTATATCGAGGTGCCACTGTATAAAATCTGAAAGTTTTCAGTTATGACTTTTATTTGTTATTTTAATTTTGTGAATCATGAATGAAATTTCGCAAATATAAAGTTACAGGTTAAATTTAAGTAAAATTTCAACTAATTTAATTTTAATTTTCTATTAATTTCAATTAATTTTCTAAGGTTTAAATTTTAGGTAACATTTCAACATTTAGGTTAGTGCTGATTTAATTAAAATCCTTTATTTTTAATAAAATGGAAGATTCCACCAGTGGTTAAGTGGTTAAATACTGCTGAATACTGGTAGCGCGATTCAGGTTGGAATCCAGGGAAACGGGGTGTCTGTATAGTTGCTTTTCCTAGATTTCACCATGGGTATTATAAATACTAGTCAGGAATCCATCTGGAAATGGGATGAGTGAACGATTTTACCGATCACTAAAACAATCTCTGAAGTTCAATTTGTGTCGTCTTTGGATATCCTCCTTACCATTCTGCGAAATGCCATGCATGAACTTTGATGCTGAGCTTCACGACTGCCAAAATATCACACACACACATATGTATATTGTATTATATATATATATATAGTATATATTGTAAATATATAAAAGATATATATACATACGTAATGCATGTATGTGTACAGATATAGGGTAAATAAAATTTATATGTACGTTGCAAAATCAAAAGTTCTTGAGATTCATTTTATTGCAGTTTACTGAAGCATTTCAAAATTATACCTGCATATTTATGGAACATTTATTTGACTGTTATATGTGTGTAACGTTCATAAACTTATTATCATAATGCTGGTGTACTATAAAATATTATATTCTTTTCGAAATCATAAAAAGTAGCAACTTTAATTTTTGCCTCCTGAATATTTTACAGATTCTCCAGTATGTGGAAAAATTGAGATATCAAAACAAAATCTCAGAAGTACTCAAAGGAAATACGCAGCTAACGTGACCTGCAGTCTGTATTCGAATCCAACGAACGTGACATTTTATTGGATGATCCGCAATTCTTCTTCCAATCACAGCTGGACCTCTGGACATGTTGCACATACTTCAGTGGAATGGGAAAACACTGCTGCTGAATTACTTTGTTGGGCGGAGAACGAAATTGGCTTACAAAATGAACCCTGTCGAGTAACGTTAGATGGTAAGGCAAAGCTTTATATTGAGTCTCGCAACCTGATCGCATTATTTCTACTTCTTATAGAAACGCAAAGATTCATGCAGTAGATGAGATACAGACAGTTACTACACATTTGATAACTATTAATAATTAGCATACATTCTGTGTAAAGAGTTTTTATTTTGTTTGAAACATTTGGTAGTGGAAAGGTTCTTACCGCATTCTTTTTAATAGCAGATATCAATGTTTAGGGAACAAATTTAATGTGTGTCAAAATAAAAAACCATATCGCCTTAGCAGTTTAGTTATGTTTAGTTATTATATTATTAATATATTTCAATTTAAGTTTCCTTGTTTATTAGTCCGAAGGGGCTTTGTCCCTGAACGACTATTGTTTTCGTTTTGGCATTTTGCTTCGAATCACTATAAACGGCGTATCAATCGTTGCCACCAAATACTAACGCCCTGTATTAAATTCGAAGAAATTAAATAATAAAGAATCTGCATAAAAGTATGTATGTTTCTCGCATTGTGATAAAACGACAGAACCTAGAGCCATCTAATTTTGAATGACGTAATCCTACTGTGAATATGGGCATCTGGAAAGCAAAAATTTTAAATCTGGAATTTCTTTTATTATCGATTTCATACTTTGTATAACTTTAACGAATATTTGATTAACAAACTCAACGATTTAAAAGCAAACAATAGCAATAATTTACCAGGAAAAAAAAAAAAAAAAAAAAAAACTTTTTATCTCCAGCGCGCGAAACTGCGTATCGGAAATTCTAAAGATATGCTCATTTTAAAATTATTTTGCGATATTGCCCTTGAACTGAATTTTATGGTTTTAGTGCGAAGAACATGGTATTTAATAAATAAAGGTGACATACAAAATGTTAAAAAAAAGCCCCTTTAGACGCAATTGAAAATCTGAAACCTTTCAGATTTTCTTTATTAGTAATTTTATTTATTTAGTCTTGTTCATGTTTCCAGACGGTCTTCCATGGCGCTCCGGCACTTCTAATTTTAGAAATTAAGCCCTACTAGAAACTTTTAAAATCTTTGAACTAATATAGAATATGAACTGGTACTATTCCGTTTTGAGGGTCGTAAAAATTTCGAATGCAGCGAAAATATATGCGCAAAAGCGCTAAATCTAGAAAACCCGTCCATTTAATTGCATGCCAAATCTAGCGTACGCGCTGATTTCAAATTGCGTAAGTTTAGATAGGTCTATATTTCTTAAGACGCCATTGAAATACTAGTTTAATTTTTAAATCCTTTGATATCCTATGGATTTAACAATTTAGGAATTGCCCATGACGAAAAGTCTGCAATAGAATGGGAAATTGCAGAATCACCCACTGCTTGGCGCGTTTTTAAGAACTGCACATATTCGGTATCCATGTACACATCGACTTATTTTCACTTCAAAAAAATCCCAGAATTACACAAAATTGACACTGCACATATCCTTGACTTTATCTACGTACGCATCGACCTATTTTCACTTAAAAAGTAAAAGAAAATTATCAAAAATCCAATTGCTTTTACCCTTGTAAAAAGCGGCAAACAAATAAGTGGGCGATTCTGCACTTTGCCGAGAATGTTTTCAAAGAAAAGGCATCATTCATTATAGAAAATTATGTTTGAACAACCAACGAGATGAAATTATGCTTTAGCGATAACTCGTAGCGAAATAGCGATGCAGGCATCCATTCAGTTATGTTTAGCATTTTTTTATATAAATTATAATAATGATCTGAAATAGTTATTTACTCTTATGCTTCCATTCAGTTATGTTTAGCCTTTTTTATATAAATTATAATAATAAAAATGTATTATATGAAATTAACCTTTAATCTAAATTAAAACCAATAATCCCTAGATAGTTACTTACTATTATACTTCTTTTCTTGCGTTAGGGTTGCCGCAATTATTTTTGGCAGCACTGGCATCAACAATAGTTTGGCGATTTTTCACGGTCCTCAAAACGGAATAGTACCTATGAACTAGTGTTATATTCATATTAATAGTACTTGATCAATAAATAAGTACCATTACGGTACTTTTCCGTTTCGCCGGCGCAATTCTCGCCAAGCAGACTTTATTGGCGACAACATACAGTATACACATATAAAATATTTTTAAAATGTTAGTTCTAAGAATTCTTTTAAAAAAAAGAAGGCATAAATATTTTAATATCGCTTAAAATTTTATAAAAAGCCAATAAATAAAGACAATAAATTTGTAAAAAGACATTAATTTAAGAATTTACTATGCTTTCATGGTTCAACATCCTGATTCGCCGTTTCATATCACGTGACCCCAAGCGATCTCATCTCACGTAAACTACTCTACAAAAATATAATGCTCTCAGTAATTATTTACATTCATTTCAAGTTAAATCTTAATTTGGAACACAAGTTTAAATGCAAGAAATATTTCAATTCGTACGAATAACTTACTCAGAAATTATGTAAAACTGCAGTGCTTTACTTCGCTAATGCATTCTCATTAGAATTGATGAATTTACCCCTTGACTTTACCTTTTCTATATTTTCGGCTTCGGGTAAGCGCTGTGATTGTATCCTAATTGACTTAATTACCGAAAATGACCTTAGACATAAAACTGAACTATCTGATAAAAATTCTATGTAATTATATGCCAGTATTGAAAGAAACAATCAATCTGATAAAAAAAAAGCTGCGACTTGTTTTGAAAATGAGGCGTAAAAGGTTACCAGCGAGAATATTCCGTTCGGCATCGGTTGTACCATTCATTATTGGCGACTTTATCGCTTGCGCCAGCAAAACGGAAAAGTACCGACATTACTACAGAATCACATAACACACTGTTTATTACAAACCAACATCAACTTGCGATTACTTCAGTCCAGTTCAACAAGCAACTAGTATGTTGTCACATATATATAACACTAGAATATTTTAATTTAGAACATACGTTGTTTAACATAGCACGAAAACTAACATTGATGCCAAATACACCCTTTCAAGAGGAAGTAAATATTTAATAATAAAAAAAGTACATTTGAGTAGTCCTGGCCGAGTGGTTAAGGTGGTGGACTAGAAATCCATTGGGATTTTCCCGCGTACGTTCGAATACTACAGACTACGGGTTTGATTTTTGCGATGCTCCTCAAAGTAAGTACAATTTATGCTTATTGGCTCTCCAATAATTGAAAGAATTTGATTTGTTGCAAAATAAATTTCCTTCCTTGTAACTTCAAATTTAAACTTAATTATCCTTATTAAAGATAGAATGAGAAAGAAAAAAAAAAAAAAATCAAGTGGGTTAGAACTTTTTTTCTGGGCTGGGATCAGAGACAGGCACGGATATTTGTTACTCTTAAAACGCAAGTATTTTAAGTTTAACGTGTTTTATTTCAAAGAAGCTTATGAAGTTTAATAAAGAAAATCGAATTATTTGTAATATGAATTCTGATCTAAAATATCTTAATATTTAAATAGATACTCCAAATTTTATTTTATCTTTTATTCTTCGCTTGATCTGCTAGCAACGTTTTTTAAAAAATATCACCGACTCAATTCGAGCAGCTCATCTTAAGTTTCCGATCATGAACCATATGTATAACTTATCATTAACATAACTGTAGAATTTATCATTAACATGCATAGACTCTGAAAGCTGTAGGTGGATGCCAGAGAAGAAGTACACTAGTTTGGTTTGTTTTATTCAGTATGGCAAGGCATGCGAGGGCTATCTGCTTAAGGAGGATGCCTTCGTGGAGGAGTTTCTAAGGGTAATTGGCTCGTATACATCTTACACATGGGAAAAACCACAAAAACGGTCATTCAGCCAAGCCTGTTCGCCGGTATTTGAATCCCAGATTGAACAACTAGTATTCAGCGATTTTACCGCTCTTCCAATGGAGCACGAAATACATTGGAATTAACGTTCTAAGATCATAAATGTTTTGCGGTTTCAGAAACCAAAGCGACTACGTCCATGAAATATGACGTGATATCTTCGTCTTTTAGAACATATTCCATAGCTGTAGACACTGAAATATGAAAAAACCGGGATTCAACAATTATGCATTATTTAAAAAGTCTGATGCGGACACCACATGACTTCCTCGAACGGAATATTAAATTATACGCATTTTTTTTTTTTTTTCTGCATTTCATTGAAACGTATTTCCTCGAATTTCATTAGACATAGATTTGTCATTCAATTAATTTAGGTCTCACTACGCGGAGGAAAAAAAAAAAAAAAAAAAAACTTCAAAATATCTTCATTGAAAATTGAAAATTATAGATAAACATAAAACACCAAATGCAGTTAAAACAATTAAGATATTATTTTAGAATTAAAATTGAGAGTTTCTTCGCAAAAACGAGCAATTCGATCAGCGGGTAAGAAGGCAAAAAACTTAAAGTTTACGTTTTTTCCCGCTAGGCAAAAACACACTGCAGGTGCAGAAATTGACTTAATTCACTATTCTGCTAAGTTTCAAATTTTAAAAAAATATGGCTGCTATGGTTAAAAAAATTAAGCTTAGCCGTATTTAAATAACTTTTAAATTGCTGATAATTCTACAACTATTGCATGCAGATTAACTAAAGGCTTAAAAACCTTAACCGGAACATAAGAACAACATAATTTAATCCCTTTTAAACCAAAAAATAAATAAATAAATATTACCAACATAAAAGAATTAAAAAAAAAATGATCCTTACCAGTCAAGTAACAGGGTGGGTATATATATATATATATCCATCCTCTTACCCGACTGGTGTATATATATGTACATTTGGTGCGGCCGATTGTAACCAAAAAGGGATATGCTCAACTACATGTTATAGCAGCACCATATCTTCCTCAGTCTTCCTCATGAATGTCTCTTTGATCGTAATTTAGTTGATATTACTTTTCTACATTCAAATATTTTGAAATAATAAAAACGATATGCTAAAATCACTGGATAATTTCTTTGATTACTTAGAGTAAAAGTTATTTTCCTTTCAATATAATTTCGTATGGTAACTTAGAATCTAGTTATTCTTCACCTGCTTTGATGATCCACCTTACGAACTCCTATAAAATACTATTTCAGGCTGAAAATGTGGCCTCTTAAAAATGTGCCGCCCGGGGCGTACCGTTCGTATCTACTTACAGAAGTGGGCGCGTTCCTGAGAATGTTATGCGATCATGGTTTTGTTATGAAAGTTGAATTCTTAGGCAGGGGGGGCCGCGTAATTGTGGCCGAGCGGTTAATGCGATGGACTAGAAATCCATTGGGATTCTCCCGCGTAGGTTCGAATCCTACCGATTACGGATGTGACTTTTACTGTTTTCCTTATCTCTTGTTTATGTTGAGCTAGTTACCAATTGTTTGGAAAAAAAAAAAAAAAATCAGATTTCATTCCTACGCCCAGAGGGGCGATTTTTTAACATTTTGTTCATTCTTCGCACTTAAACCATAAATTGCAATTCAACAGAAATATCACAAAAATTAATATTATATCACACTAAGGAATAAATGTGATTCTCGCATGAAGACCATTTTGTACAAGTGGTTCTTATTTTTATTTACAACACATCTAATACATAATCATACTAGACTGAAATATCATCCAAGTATAATTAATCAGGTAATCCGAGATAAAGAATAAACTAACCTAGTAAGCAAAAAAAAAAAAAAAAAAAAAAGTAAATAAAAAATAAAATGAAATAAATAAATAAATAAATAAAATATTACGTCCAAAGGGGCGTTTTTTTAACGTTTTGTGTGTTACCCTTATTTATTAATTATCATGTTCTACGTACTCAAACCTTAAGTACCACAGCAATACCGCAAAATAATTATAAAATGAGCATATCTCTAGAATTTCCGATACAGAGTCCAGCTCTGGACTCTGTATCGGAAATTCTAGTGCGCGCGCACTGGAGAGTTTTTTTTTTTTTTTTTTTTTTTTTTTTTTTTTTTTTTTTTTTTTTTTTTTTTTCCGTACATTGTTGCCGTTGCTGGCTTTGAAATCGTTTAGTTTTTAATCAAAAATTCGTTGAGGTGTTACAAAATAAGAAATCGATAATAAAACACATTTAAAATTCAAATTAGCGCTTCCACATGCCCATATTCTATGGAAGATTATGTTATTCAAATTTTGACGGCTGTCAGGTACCTTTGTTTTATCACGATGCGAGAAACATACATACATTCATGCAGATTCTTCATTATTTCATTTCTTTAAATATAATACAGGACGATAATATTCGGTGGCAACAATTTGAAAAGTGATTCGCCGTTTATAGTTTTCAATGCAAAATGCCAAAATTAAATTAATAATCCTTCAAGGCAAATTACCCCCTTTGGACTAAAAAGAATGGAAAGTTCTATACCTGGCGTTCTATTTGGTCGATTGATGAAATTTAAATTGCGCTTTTTACGTCTCAATATTTCTATTCTACGACTCGAATTATGCCAAACTGCCAAGTTTCGTAAAATTCGCACGAGTAGTTTTTAAAAAATTAGCTCTCAGAATTTTAGCTCCTCCATGTCAATTCAGTTTGATATACATTTGTTAGTATCTCTTTTTTAATTAAACTTATTTGATTCTTCAATCTTCTGCCATCATTTTAAATTAGATTTATTTCTAAGCATACAGCAAAAAATTAGGGGTTTTTATTCAAAATTTGCTAAGATAACGTGAATTTACATTTTGGGGCATTTTGAAGTTTGGCGTGTTTATTATAAGCGATAATAACGAAAATGTTGTTTACGCACTTTTTTAAAATTATTTGAAAGTATGAATGATTACATTTTTATCGCTCGTGGACAGGTAAAAAAAAAGAAAGGAAAATAGGTTGAAGTTCGTCAAATGGGTTAAGATAAATTTTTGAATTTCTCCATAAATTTTGCACCACATTTTACAAAATTTAATATTTAGGCATAATTTGAGTTGTAGAATTGGCATGTCATTTAAAAAAATTCTGATTTTGTATCAAATAGAAGTATATTATAGAAGTATATAGTATATTATAGAAGTGTTGTTATATAAAAATCTAATATATATCATAAGGCGCTAGAGATATGAAGAACGTAATTTGAATTTCATCAATCGACCCAGTAGAGCGGGAGATATGGAACTGTCCCAATTTTTTTTTTCTGCGCAGTGTACATACAGATTTGTAGTACATATAAAATATATAAAGTACATATAATCGTAGAATAGATGTACTTCACTAAAACATTACAGCGCTGATGGCATTTAAAAATTATTCTTAGACCATATGCTGTAGCCTAGTATTATGTAAATCAATAATCCTCTTGGATTCTCTTAACTATTTAAAAATTCGAATGCAGCTTTATTTAATTTGAAACATGTTCTAACATTTTGAAAGAGGAAACACAGTTTGTAACGATGACATGACTTAAGTTGAAGGTTAAAGTCGATTTGTAATACATCACGATGTTTAAAATTAATTATAGCCTTGTCTAATGTTAAAGCGTATTTTCTTTAAAAAAAACGAATATAAGAGGAGTTGAGTGTTGTAGATTAGACTTTGTATCATCCACTATTTTGAGAAGATACAAATTAACAACTTTCTTCAGAGCTACGCTTCTATTAATATGAACTTTCATCGCTAGAAGCAATTCATTACATATGTCTAGCACGCCAAAATCCAACAGAATTAATTTACTACATTAGCAGATTCTTAAAGTTAAAGCAAAGCTTCAGTTTAATTTTATGCACCCAATATTTTCATGAAATGTTTCGTATATAACTGTAATTGACCTTTTTCGTTCCTGTTATTTACAGTGAATAATAATAGTAATTAAAGTACAAAACAAGAAGGATTTACATGGCACTATGTGTACTAAGCATGAATACAATCTTAATTGGCAAAACATGAATCACAGTAATTTTTATATTAAATTTATAAAGTTATCACCAAAAAACAAGGAAGTGTTGCTCAGAATTAAATTCATTTTTCACGATTCCCATTTTCATAAAGTATATTTTGATAACTGAAAGTGAAAAATTTATTATTGTTATTTTATAATTTACCCATCGAAATTTTATTTTAGCAGATGAACAAGGAGATTCATTATGCGTATATTTAATAACCATCAGCAGTTTTGCTGCCATATTTTTCTTGGTTGCCTTTACGGTACTTACAAGGCATTTAATAAAAGATCAGGAGAAATGCCGATCAAAGGAGGACAAAGAACTAAAAGAACTGAAAGGTAAGTGCTCTTTTTTTTTTTTTTTTTTTTTCCTGTATGGACATTTGAGAAATATATAAGGTATTTTATCCCTCCTTCGAGACTGTCTTCGTGGTGTAACGATAGCACACTCGGCGTGTATTCCAGAGGTCAAAGTTGGAGCCTCGGCAAAAGATTGCACATTTTTCATGTCTCCTGCTTCAAAATTCCCTAATGATTTTACAGTGGTGGATAATGATGATAAAACGAACTAAAACGTGGTGGATGATGATTCTTCACTACCAGTATTTGGCAATTCGGTTCCCTAACCTCCTGTCGCACTTTAAAAGGGTAGGTATACATTTTTGCTCTCCACTCTGCATGTCTTCGTGGTGTAACGGTAGCACACTCGGAGCGTATTCGAGAGTTCCAGGTTCGAGTCTCGGCGAGAGCATTGCTCATTTCTCGTGTTTCAAATTTATTCCATATTATTATATAATATAATATATATATATTCCATATTTCTACTGAACTCTGCGATTATGCTATTTGTGTTTGCTGTTAGAATGAGTTTCAGTGCAGTTTATTATATTAATAAATAAAGTACTCAGCAGAAAAACGCTGCAAATACATCGTTTATAATCTGTCAAAAATTCTTAAAACTTTGATTGGGTATAAAATTATGCATCAATTTATAACAATATTGTACTAATGGCGAAATTAGTTTAATTAGCGCTGAACCCGCGGTAAGGTATATCCACCGTACTTCATCTTCGAAGTACTTTCTAAGTGAAACTTCTTACTTTCATACTGGACTCGGAGAAAAACAAGAAAATCCCTGTACAGAATGTTTTTTAACTCGCCTAACATATTTACTTTTTGTACACTATACACATTTTTTTAATTGCTTGCTTTCAGGAATCTGATTTAAAGTTGTTTTTCGAAAACTTTAAGGCGAGATTTTCTTTAGGTTTCGTTATGAATTTTGTATACTTTCAGTGCATGAATACAAATTTTAGAGCAGCGGAAAGCAAATTACTAGACATTCAATTTATCGAAATAAAAGGCTTTAAAATATTTCAGTCAAAAAATTTACAGGTTCAGGATCAGTGCTCAAAATATTAATTGAACCTACATCATATTCATGAATGAGATCAAAATTTGCTGTTGGGTAGGGATTACTTTAATTTTCCAATAGTTTTAATTTTGAAACCCTTTCCTTTAAATTCTTGTTTTCCACTTACAACTTCCTACTAGAATAAGTTTTCAATCTCGCGTTTTATGTAGATGAAGTAAAACAAGTATTTAGTAGGAAGATTAGTCACTTCCGTAGAAGAGCACAGATGTTCTCGATGCAGCCTGTTCTGGCTTCGGGCCACATCTTTACTTTAAGTTAAAGCTAACTTATTACTTCGGTGGAAGTCTAACGTACTGTAATGAAGTCTTAAAGAACTCTCGTCATTTTTGTGGGTTAAACCATTAACCAACATTATAAGTCAAAACTTACAGAATAACTGAAAAGCATTTTTAAGCGCGCGCAACGTCTGCGGATATTCTTTGCGGAATAATCGTCTTAATCGTCTGCGGTAATTTACATTTCTTAGTGGAATTTTCTTGGTAGCATAGCAACGCAAATACGTACGTATCTACGCAAGACTGCAACGTTACAGCTTTAAATTCCTTCCTTCACGGGGAACGTTTCGAAGAAAAGTTTTTCTTAATGCATTAATTTTTTGTTTTACAAGAGAAAGTTAGATACCTGACCAAATGAGTACATATGCTTTCAAAGAAGCATTTTAAATAAACATATAAAATGTAATATACTAATATTACGAAAATTTAAACAGTGACGTCTTAAACTTCCTAGAATGTATATTTTAGTTGTGAGATGTTTGGATACAACGACTTAAACTGTCAGCATTTTGATGGTGCTTCCCCTTTCTATACGCAACTTCATAGTTAAAAAGTTGTAATATCAAAACCCATCGTAATAGTCTAGGATTAGTCCAAGTGATTTTATCCAACCATACTAGAGTTTATGCTAGAGAGATTATGATCAGTCTGAATGAGGAACTTATGAGGTCCATATAGGCAAAATTTTAACTTTTATACTGCAAAGACAATGGCAGCACACTCCCTTTAGATCGTACTGTACGTAGTAGTTTCGATTGTACGTACTGTTCAGTAGGTGAAAACGTTTTGCTAAGAAATATTATTAGATGTTCTTCGCCTTTAGCATTTATCAATGATAATACAACGCTAATACCAATATTCGAAGTGTCGCATTGAACGTTAAAGGGCTGAGAAAAGTTCGGACTGTGTAAGACTGGATTTTGTGTTAATCGTTTCTTGAGTTTATGAAAAGTATTTTGGCAGTCATCAGTCCAATTTATGGTTGATTTGCAGCATGTTCCTTTTAACAAATCTGTTAGTGGTGCAGAAATCACAGAAAATTCAGAAATAAATCGTCAATAATACCCCGCAAATCTTAAAAATGACCGAACCTGTGTTTTCGTTGGTAGGTTTAGGGAAGTTCTTTATGGCTTAGATTATTTCTGCTGGTCTTCTTTGACCTTGTCTTACTACAGGACCTAGATATTTGAGTCTAGGTCGTGTGAGCAAATAAAGCCTGAGGTAAGATTTTATCCCCAGTCCGGACCAGATTCTAGACATAGGACTCGAATAATTCTTTTTAAAGTTCTATGCATCCTCTCTATATGATTGCTTTGTGGGTGGTAAAAAGAACTTCGTACAACTTTAATTCCGAATTGTTCTAGGAAATTCGATGTTAGCGCACTCGTAAAAGATGTAGCTTGGTCGGTTTGGACCTCCTTTGAAAATCCCATTCGACTAAAAATTTGAAGGAAAATTATCAACAATCGTGGTTGAACAAAGATTTGCGACAGGAACTGCATCCGGATATTTTGAAGACATGCAGATTGCAGTTATAAGATACTTATTTCCTGAAGGTGTCGGGGAAAGATGCCCATAAGCGTCAACATTTATTTTTGAAAATATTTCTGTGATAACAGGGAAAATTTTCAAAGGTGCTTTCTTTTTATCTGGTGGCTTTCTAATTCTTTGACATTTGTCACAAGTTTTAACAAAATTCCCGACATTTTTGTAACAATGTAACCAATGAAAATTTTTGAATAATGCATTTTTAGTCTTTGTTGCACCAAGATGGGCTGCTCTTTCTTCATGACAAATAGTCATAAACTGTTTCCGATATTTTTCAGGAACAACAATCAATAGTCCTTGTGTTCCATCACGATCTTCTTTTTTGAAAAAGAGCATTTGGCCTTTCAACATATACCTCGTACCCTTAGATGATTTTATTTTAGCTTCTTCATAAATCGGCTTCAATTCGACGCTCTCCTTCTGTTCTTGTATAAATATTTCTGGAGATGCCTTTATCAGATCTAATTCTGAACGTTCATATTTCACAGGAGGCAAGCTTTCATTTCCAGTCAATGTGTCTTTGTCGTTAAGTTCAATTTCAGAATTTAACTCATTTGTTAAGACCAGATTTTCCGTTTCTTTTAGTCGTCGCTGTTGAGCACGAGCTTGTATGGCGTTTATCATATGAATTTCAAATTCTTCATCTAGTTTTGCTTCTTCAAATAATGCAGCGATTTTGTTACCTAGATACCTTCCTTGATCTAATGAATCTCTTAAGACTGCAGCCTTTGTTATTATATGACCAAGATTACATTCAAGCTCTACCTCAGACAAAGGGAAGCACGCTGGATGTTCTTGCTGAGGTGCTCGTACCCACACGGTCTCACCCGTATACATGGAAGGCTGCACATACTTTTGGCAAATTAAATCCAAAGTTGCAGCGGTATCTCTAAGTATGGGCATTTTATAGCCATTTACTTTACCTATCTTGGTATATGAAGCCATAATATCCTTAAAATTAGTTTTGGAAAATTCATTTGAGGGTACAGTTTCATTGGATGCTATATTTTTTAAATTCTTCTTGAGTTTATTACAAGGAAGTCGAAGATGCGAGTGCGATCTGCATTCATAACAACGAGGTTGTCTCCGTTTTTTCAAATTCCGTTTCATGAATTTTATTAGTACATTCTGTCCAAATTATAGGTTTAGGATAAAAGTCTTTCGAGACTTCTTTAGGATTATGTCTATTACGATAGCCAGTTTGCATTTTGTTCACGTTTTGATGACTTTCTTGAAGTTTCAAACCTTTTTTCTAGGATTATCTCTCTTAAAGCTCTGTTTAATACTCTCATACTCGTCTAATTTTTCTGCTCCCTCATATGGAGTTTTTAATTTCGTTCATTGGTCGAGAAAATTATCATTCACTTCCATGGGAATCCTAAATTTAATTTGCTCGGTAACTATTAAATCTTTCAGATTCTCAAATGTCTTAATTTCTAAATCCGCAATCCACTCCAAAAAATAACTAGAAAGTTCATTGGCATAATTTCTCCAAGATTTTTAAGGAGTTTTTTTATGTCGATAAAAGCACTGTTTCTGCTTTTCACTGTTAAGTTTATATTTTCTTAAGATTAGATTTTTCTCATATTCGTACTTAGTCGCATCTTCAGATGGTTCCCTGGCTAACATATTGGAGATTTCGGTGGGTAAAACACCCAAAAAGTAAGCCACCTAATCATTCTTAGGAACTTGAGCCATTTCAGTTTTTCTCTCAAAATTTATCAAATGTAGTCCCATTTCATCCCATTTTTTCGTCAAACGTTGGAGTAATTTGTGACAACTGGATTTTGTTGCTCGATTCTACTATATTCGCTGTTGATTCTCCAGCTCGTATTACTTGATTTTCAATTTCAAGCCGCTTTATTTCCAATTAATATGCCCTTGCTTCTTGAGCCAGACGTTCTTCTCTCTTTTCTTGAGCCACACGCTCTTCTCGAGCCAGGCGTTCAGTAATTATTGGGTGTAGAATTAATTTAACTTCTTCCTCATCGTAAGACTTTCAGTGATTATTTTTTTTAATTTCTGGGATCTTATATTTAGCGGCACTTCCTCAACCTACTAATTCTTCAGCTACTTTTATT